TAGAAAGACAACAGGAGGGAAAGACAATGGGACTGTAAAATCAGTGTGAGATGGGACCATTAGGGAGTTTGAGAGACCTTGACAAAACCACAAATAAAGCAGAAAATAAAATTTTGCAGTACCAAATAGAACTGAAATCAACTGGATACTGTGGAGGTTTATTTAGAATAATAGAAGTAGCTTAGGAAGGAATGTAGCAATAGATAGGAGAAAACAAAAGAAGAGAGGTGCCCAGAGAAGTTGTGGATGCCCAATAATCCCTGGAAAGTGCTCAAGGTCAGATTGGATGGGGCTCTGAGCAACCTGGTCTAGTTGAAGATGTCCCAGCTTATTCCAGGGGCTTTGGATCTAATGGCTTTTAAAGGTTCCTTTCAACTCAAACCATTATATGATTCTATGAAAGGGAAAATGAATGTATAGAAATAGAATGAGATTTTAGAAGGAAGGAAGCTGGAGAAAGGAATATTTCTGAAGTAGGAGTGAGCTGATCAGAGAATTGAAAGAATTGGATTATCTGGCCAGGTATCAAAATGAGGGATTTAAGGGGCCACTCAAGTACACTCACACAGTGTTATATATGTGAGATGAGCCAGGGGGAAGGGTCTGCAGCCTCCTGCTTTCTTTGTTAAGTCTGTATTTTATGTGCTAACTAGAGTTTGAGAATGTAGGTGCAGTTCTCTCTTCTATCATACATGTCCTGCATGATATATTGCAACTGAAACCAGTTTCTCCATTATATAGTGCAGCTGGAACTTGGCAGGTTTTGCCACATGCAGAATTTCCTTAGGTTCATTGGTTCTCAGCGTTTTAACAAACCACACATCTGTCCCTTGAGAAAGCTCTATACCCTTGTTCAGCATCTCTGAAATGGAGCAACTAGCTCTGCTGTGGTACAAAGTGTTGTGAGAATTAATTTTTTAAGACTGTGACAGTGCTATGTACACAAATCCCAAAGGTGAGAAGGTGAAGTCAGAAGCTTGTATTGCAGAGTGTACTTCAAAGCTGAAGAAATATTTTGGTGTTAAACTGAGAAAGAAGTTTTGCTCTACTGCCTCTGCTAAATGTTGTAAGAAATATTTCAATGATCCCTTGCCTCCTTATAGTGTTACATGCCAGTCATGGTAGCATTACAGAATTTGCATGCAAATCCCATTAATGGACACATTAAGTCCTTACTTGTCTTTTTAACAGAAAAGCAATTCAGTATGTGTATTTTGATGCTTTTTCTGGTTTTGCAGTTTCAAAGGGGTATCTTTCATTGATATGTGTTCATTACAGACTGAACAGGAAAATGTTTTTATTAGACTGATTTAAAAGTTATTTAAGTCTTATTATTGCAATATACTTAAAGATTTATAGTGATTTTTTTTGCTTATGAATTGGAAAGATTTGTTAGCCTGATTTGATATGCTATTTTAGGATAATGTAGGGTTTTCTAGGTTGGTCTTATGACAATTGAAATAATATTTGTGAAGCAATGCCTTAAAAGTAAATATCAGTCATTAAAGAGATTTACACATATACATATACACTTGAATGTAATGAATAAAAATCTACTTAAGGACAAATCTGCATGCTATGTAACATGCATATTGGGGTGAAGTGAAGCCATAAGTAAGCCAGAATTTCACAAGGGTTGTCTAAGCATGTCCAGACCTTTGTAATAGTACAAGGAAGGTATGTAATGAAAAAGCTGGCTTTGAAGAATAAAAAAAGCATTATCTCTTTAGGACAGAGTTTTGTGTTTGTGCTTCACAGCTATGAAATCTTGACCCCTGACTGAGTTATGGTGTTCAATATAGTAAATAATATTAGAATTTTTCAGAAAATATCTCAAGAGTTCTTGGTAAATGTAGTCAAAGAGTGGCTTTGGCAGATGGAATCAGCAAACCAAGGTTACTGCCAGTAAGGTGGAATTTGACATCAAATTCAAAGAAAAGATTTCTAGAGCATGTCTAGATGTGAACTGGATGTGAGATTAAATCTGGGAGTGAAACACCTCTACTTTCATTTGTTTATGTAAGAATCTCTGTCTGATTTAGAGATGTAATCTCTCATCATGCTTAGGACAGATGTAGGATTCAATTCAGTTACCCAAAAGTAGGAGTCTAATGTCATTTAAGGTGCTATAGAGGTGTCTTTGAAATGCATGTGGAGACTGTTGAGTATTGTACAGGGCATTTATAGGGGAGACCAGCACCCTTCTGAATGGCAGCTGGAGGCCGGGTGGGATGCCCTGAGGAATCTGCAGTGATGGTAGATACCTGCACTAAGGCAAGGGAATCAATACCAAGGGGACTGGGGTGAGGTGAATTGTTCTCTGAACTCTTGATGGTATTCACTAGATCTTGATTTTATTGACTAGATCTCAACTGACTGCTCTGGGATTTTAAATAGCTAAGGTAGAAGTAAATAGCTATGCTGGAAATTTACTTGATGAAATTGGGAATGGAGTTTAATCCTAACTGTAGAAAAAAGTTTGATTCATTTCTACTGTTTTTTGGGGGGGTTTTTTTGTGTAAATAGTGCTTTAGAGACATAAAGCCTCAGCACAAACTGGTCTACTGAGTCTCTCATAGCATATATTAATGAACAGCTAGTGTACTTTAACATTTTACAGGACACAGCAAAAGTGCAAAAAATTCCTCTAGTTCCTCTAGTTTCTTAGTTAAGCTCCAAAGGCTTAGATGCTGGATTCCTGACTAATTATGTAGAGAAATTATTGGCACATGTTGATTGATGGACCTTGTTAACTCCAAAAAGTATAGTAGCAGTGTAATGCTGTGGAGTACTAGAGACTGAGTTTCTCTGCAGAAACCTTAGATTGGAAAGACATTTTAAACTGAAATATGTTTCTCTGAATCAGTAACAATAATGTCCAAGTCCAAAACAAGATAGTGAAAGGCCAAAGCAGTGGCTGGAGGCCTGAATAGACAAATGCCAGGGCAGTTGCCTTTGGAGCTCCTTTGGGAGACAAAGCTGAACCATTCCAGCTGCCTGTTTAGGCAGGAACTGTCTCAGCTTAAAGACAACCAGAGATACCACACCTCATGTTAAGAGAAGTGTCCCCTTTTCAATAGAGGAGTTCAAGTCCTGCAAATCTGCAAAGACACCATTGCTTGGGAAAGGGCCATAAAATAACTTCCAAATGGCCAGAGATCTTTTTCAGTTTTAGAAATAATTAGGCCATTCATGAATATGTTGTCTAGCAAAAGTGGGCCATTAGATTTAATTAATACAGATGAATATTTTTGATCTGATCTGAGAGTTTTTTTGGCTCAGATCCCAAACAATGACTTCCAACTACACTGTTTGATGTTGGAGTCTGTCCCTGTTCATTGAACCCTCCCATGAAATTACTAGACCTAGGAGTCAGGCTTTCAAAGCAGAAACTGGTTTGAATTATTGAAGAAAGTAAGTCCACTCAATAGACCAGATGATTGCCAAAATTTCCCATTTTTCTCAGGTTTAGTATGACACAGTTAATTTACATGGTGCCTAACACAACTTTAAGAAATAATCAACCTTACACACACCTAATTCTATTGAATTTTTCTATCTGACATTCCAATAGAAAGGGTGAATTTTTAGTGAAAACAGCCTGGTTTGGTATTTATGACACAAGTATTGCAGGACTTGTAACCTAAAAATTAAATTGACCAAAAACAAATTTGAAAATTTTTCCACTGGGATTGATTGTATTTTAACAAGTAGTTCTAAGTAAGGGATGGTGAACACCTTCATGATCCAAGGAAGATAGTATTGCTCCCAAAGGTAATAATTAGGTCTTGATACTAATTAGGAGCAAATTCTTGACCCTTACAAATATTCTGACATGTTAAGCCTGACATGCTAGAATAAGAAGAGATGAAACATCTTTTACTCTCTTTATTCTATTTTTCTTTTACTCTCTTTATTCTATTTTTGTCCAGGTTTGGTTTTCCAATGCAGAATTTCCTGAGGTATTTTTCTCTGTTGTGAAATAAATATATGGACAGCTATAAACGTGGTTGCAGGCCTCCTCTGTTTTGGAGACATTTGATGTTTCTGGTCATTGATCTTGAAGCAGGAAGGAGTATCATGGGGTTAGGAGGTGGGGTTAGGATATTTTGGGTATAGAACCGAATGAGTGCTGCAACAGACTACTTAGCATGGCATTGCAAACCAGCAGTGGTCTGTGGCTTAAGAGCTGTGACACTGAGCACTAAAGTTATACCTGTACTAGTAGGTAGTGCAGTGCAATGGGAACAAGTCCATGTAGTGAAAAAGTTGTTGCTGATCTGTTGAACACATATAAATTTCTACATCTTATGGTATAGATCCCCCCAAAAGAAATGGGTTTCTCATGCTCTAAAACTGCTCTGCAATCCAAAGCACAACTATTAACTGGGGTCTGCTCAGTGCTTTTCTTTGAAAGTAAATATTTGAAATAAAGTAGTAACAAGTTTTTTAACTGTTCTATGAAAACTCACACAGAAAGTTTGATTTTCATGTATGTTTTTCAAGTTGAAATGTTTCCCTTAAGCTTCCAGACATTTCAGTCTTTGAATATTTGAGGCATATTCATAAATGGAATAAACAGCAGAGGGTGTCTTTCGAGTGATGGGCACTTGGTATTATTTAGTAAACTTCATTATACAGGCATCAGCGCTCTAATTGTTTTGCAAGATGTACCCATCAATGCAGCTGGTGAAGAGCTCTCTTTCTTATCAAAAGATGATTGAAATTATTATATGCAAGGCTGTAAAGGCCTATTATATGTTGAATTAAATTGATTAGAATGAAGACATGCATTTTTTCTAATAAGGATTAATCCAAATTTTAGAAGGAAATTATCTCTACACACCACAGCTTGTGATATGAAATGAATTTTACTACTATAACCTTTGAGCCAAATAAAAACAGTAAGAACAGAGAAAGATTGGTTTATTAAATGTCAAGTAATGAAAACTATACAAAAAGTCTGGGTTTTTCATGTCAAACTTCTATTTTTCTTGTAGCCAAAGCAACGTACATCCATAGTATCTTCTCTGGAATTTCACCGAATGAATCACAGCCACAATTATTTTGAAATCAACCCATCCATTGGCTGTGCAAGTTTTATTTCTACTCCTGCAATCAGTCCAGCTAATTATTCCTTTGGATCTCTGGAATACAGTCTTGAAGAGAAAGAACTTCCAGGTATAGAAAAAAAAAGCTTACTTTGTCTGTCAACAAAGTTTTATAAAACTTTAGGTCTTTGGGTGTAAGTTGAAATTGCTGTTGTCTTTGATAGTAAAATACATTTATCATTAATACACAAAATTATTCCTGATGTTTTTTCTTAGTACTCTATAAAGAGTTCTAATATTTTATGACCAGTATTATGTGACATACTTTTCTCCTGAATGTTATATTTTGAAAAAAATAACTGTTATTTCCAGACTTTCCTAGAATTCAGGTATTGTACTTTTTGAAATTATGATGATTTGTGCATCTACTTTCATCACTGTGTGGCCAATATACTCCAATAAGGATTTTGAATTGAAAAAAATTTAATTAGAAATCATTATGTAACCACCAGTAAAGATGTGGAAGGGAAGATTTCTAAGAAACCTGTGATTGTTTCTGCAGTAGTAATGGGATTCATTAAAGTAAAACTTCAATGTATTTGCTCTGATGATAAGAGTTTGATAGAGTGATAGTGTGATTGCAATGGGGAAGGTTTTATCCCTAAATGGAGATTTACATAATGAAAATGCTTTAAAAAGGATTAAAGTATTTCTCTTTTCACAAAAAACTTCAAGAATCTGAATTTGTCAGTAAACCAAGCATTTACATTTTCCTCTCCAAATTCCATATAAAAGTTGCTTTATTTAGGCTAAATTTGTGACAGAAGGGTATAGTATTTGGGAAAGCTGATGTATTGAAACAAATGTCTTTGATAGCTAGTTTAGGGGATCTGCAAATCAAGTTTAAAAGGGTATTGTATTTAAAATATCAATAGGAGTAGATTACTGTAAAATAAAAATAATACAAATGTTGAAATTCAGAGCAAACTTATCAATTGTTTTTTGTAGCATTGGTCTTGAAATGAGATGAATCCTCTTCATTCCTAGTTGGTAGAATTTAAAAATTCTGAAAAGTATTGCTTTTAAATTATAAAAAAAATAAAAAATAAAAAATCATACCTAGATCAATAGAAAACTATATGGTTTGGGAACTATTGTGAAATAAGAGTGAGAAATCCTATCTTCTTTGATTGAGAGTTAAAATGATCAGAGATTATTCATATTTGGTTTTTTGATTATAATATAAACAAAGATAATATGTGCAATTTTCTTTGAAACTAAAAGAATGTGCTTATATCATGGATATAGGAAATATTTTAAAACTTACATGGAAACAATTAATTTGAATGATATCTTTTATTCCTAGGTCTGGGGTCGTTTGATTCTTTAACATTTGGAGTGTTTTCTGTTGTTACTGGTTTTTTTCTACTGTAAATTCTCCTCATTAATCACAGTTTATTTTGGGTAGTTGAATTATATTAAGTATTTCTTGATGTTCAAAAGCAAAGATAAGAAAACAGAAAGAACATTCACAGACTTCAGATAATTACCTTCTCCAGATTTTTGCTGTTGTGCAGTTCTGTTAAAGTTCTTCATAGTATCTGAAGTCATTTGACTTGTATCTTCTTTGGTTAAATCTACAATGGACTACACTCAGAAACTTCTAATTACTATGTTTAATTTTGTCTGAGACTGGGACTATAAGGTCATGCTTATTAGAATTTTATGCTTCTAATTTGTGGATGATTTGATTTATGGATTGAGTGAAAGCTGAATTTCCTTTATCTTTTCCCAGAAAGCTAAGAAAAAATAACAGGCAAAATGACTGAATTTCAGGGTATCTTCTACAAACTCTTCAATGGTACATTTTACAATCAGTAAAGCAAGTACTTTACCATTAATAAATGAAATATTTACAGTAAAATTACAATTCCACCCTCCATTTTCAGCTGGTATTCTAGAATTATTTAAGTAATATACAGGATCCTATATTAGACAAAATATTAACCTGAATGAAAAAAAACCACATTTTATTTTGATAATTTAGTTTTTTTGACTCCTTAAAGATAGATGATGCATAATAACTCTGCAAAAGACAAGGAGTACAAATATGGAAAAAGAATAACAAAATCTGGAAGGAACAGATCAAAATTGTCTCTCTTGAAAACGTTTTTACAGCTTGTCTCTTATCTAGAATGTTAAAAACTGAACCTTGAATAATAATGGTCAGCAAGGAGCAGCAGAAACAGTGTTCTGTGTTCTGCTACAGCTTTTCTCTGCTTTAACTAGCTGTTGTTTCACTGAAAGGTCCCTTTTTTCTTTTCAAGATCTACAGTGACAGTAAGTACAATTCATCATGTGACCTAAATATAACCTTAAAATTCATAGAAAATCTGTATCCTAAAATAATGGTTAGTTTATTACTAATTAAAGATTTGTGTGCATTTTAGTGAAACAATTAAAATGCATTTTACAGGATTTCTTAATCAGAAATTTCCATCTAAATAAGGCATCAGTATTTCCCTACTCAGTTTCGGTGCTTTTTATGTCTTCTTCAGGAAATTTATAATTATTCATTATAATTGAGATTAAAATGAATTAATACAACAAAATAATTATTCTAATTCTATAATCTGCATAATTTTTCCTTTACCTCAGTAGTCTGCTGCTACCAAAGAAGAAACAACCTGTTGTTGATGGTTCCCTTTTATGTTTGGATATCAGTTTTACTCTTGGTGTTTGTTAATTCCCTACAGCACCTGATTTGAAAGAGGGGTCCTGATTTTTAAAAAGTGGGGTTTTTTTATCAAATAGAAAAACACTAAATTCTTCCACAGATATATTTCATATCTGAGACATATTATCTGAATGACAGTATATGAGAACATTTCTAGTTAATTATCTGGAGAACAGGCCACATACAATGGTAAATATGTGCTTCAGCTTTGGCGTCACATAGCCTTGTAGAGTAAACAAACCAGGTATATTGCATGCATGGATGGCAGCAGATACCAGCAGATACATTAATATCAGGGTGCCTGATGTAAGGAGAAAGGTTCTGTCCTCTGTTTTGAACTTTAGCTGGTGGAAGAAGCTGCAACAAGGTGATGGCAGCGCTTCTCTCACTCCAGTAAGTGTAGGGCAGACTGCACGAGTGCAGCTGTGGCGTGACCTATTCTCAGGGCTTTGTCTGGTGCTAGATCATTGGCATCAGAGAAGCATTCTCAAATTCTAAGTGAATGGTGATGCTTTCGTAGCATTGCATTTCACTTCAAGTTGTGCACCAGTGCATCCCAGTAATGTCAGCTACTACACATAGTAGTGTAGTAAGTTACTGAACTAAAAGTCATTGCACAGGGAAGTCACTTCTATATGTAACCCTGTCCCAGCAAGATGTGTGTAATTTATAAGATAACACACATGAAGAGTTAAATACCTGATAATCAAGTGATTGTTTGTGAGATGTTCCTCATGTTACTTTGGCCATTAACTCAGACCACAGATGTGCAAGATAATTCACTCCAGGAGAGGGCAGCCTGGGCTTTCAGGGAAATGCCTGTCTAACAGATCTCTCTGCTTTGTTTTCTATATCCCTTGGGTTCTCTTGAAACCATAAATCTTAAAGATTGAAGGCAACAAAATTGTGGCCTTTTTGTAACATCAGCTTGGCACAGTCAACACTTGCAGCTGAAACTGTCAGTCTGGATGATTTTCTTTTTCATTTTTGCTTGATCATTCCAAATAATGGATCTTTCTCTAGCCCATATAATTTCATTATGTCTTCTTGTCCCGAGTATAATTGGGCCATGAAATTAAAAAGACAGTCCTGCAGAGGTTCTTGTTCTGTTTCAGATCAAAATAGGTCTGTACTCAGATTCATGTATGCAGCAAACATATCAGCAGATGTCTGAAGGTAATCGCATTACAATCTTTATTTTCAGTCCATGAAACTCTGTACATTTTCAATAAATTCAGTATGCCATTCATTGTAGAAGAGGATACTGTTTTTCTCTCATCTTGTTGTGGTACTGAGAAGTATTCACTGAGTTTATCTCTTAGTTAGAAAGTCTGTCTCCACTGGAAAGGACCTTAATATGCTTCTATATGCCATGTTCTCTGACTGTGAGAGCTATTATTTAATACATTTAAGAAGGCTACATATTTCCTTAAAACAGCCCAGAATGTAAAATTTTAAAATGTAATCTTTAATGTGCAGACTAAATTTTTTTCTCTTTTACTTTTGAAAAAATTGTCTTTGAGTCACACCTTTGATTCCTTCTATAAGTGTTTCCAGATCTTTCTTTACAGTATGTGTCTGATCAAATTGTTCTGTCTCACAATCCCTATTTCAGAAGCAAAAGCAGCCTTAAAAGCTTAAAAGTTGCAGTTTTGTCTTTTTCTTTTGAGACAATCAAGAAATACAGCCTATTAAAATTGGAAACTTCTTTCAGAGATCAGGCCTAAAATTCTTGGCTATGCTGCATTCCTGTATACAGTCAGAATTTATTCTGGTGCAGAAATATTTCTTATGTGATAATAGCAAAGCTGCTCTTCGAAGTAGGTCACATATTTGTCAGCATTGCTTTCTCGTTCAAGTATCACATATATTAAGAGCTGATATGAAAAGATCAAACTCTGATGTCTATGTAGACTCTTCAAGCCTTGTTTCTTCAGTTATAAAAGGTTTTGGAGTGAGTAGAAGTGAAATACAAGATGAAAGGAATACAAAGAAGAAGAAAGTAACTTTTATTGCCAGAGCATTTTTTTTAGGTGTGCTGTATACAAGTTTGTGGTACACTGTTAACAAAGCCTCACTAATTAGCAAAAGAACATGGTTTTCAAGTGACAGAAAAGGGAAAAATATTGGCTTGTAATAAAATAAGAATAATCAACAAATCTTAGTAGATAAAGCATTCCCATCTTCTTTATCCAAACAGCGAGCAAGGTAATACCTGAAAAAACGGGTATTACCAGCCTGTACCAACTTGTCATTGATTGAAAGTTCTTTTCCAGATGAAATGGCTCTGAAGGTCAAATTCAGACCCTCTTTTATCTTTCTTCATCATCTTCTTTATTACAATGCATTCTGCCAAGGCATTCTTCAAAACAGGTTAATTTGAACCTTTTCAT